CGAGGATACATGAATAGTAAGGGATTTGAATACCTCCCTTTCAATAATCAATAGATCATCCATACAGGAAATCAACAAGGAAATGTTGGACTTGAACTATACATTTAGACTATGTGGATCATATATACATCATATATACATTACACATATGTGCACAGTCATCCAACAGTAGCAGAATACACATTATTCTCAAGTGCACATGGAACAGTCTCCATGACAGATCCTGAGATTGGGCAAAAAAGTTATAGAAAGTTTAGAACTATTAAAATCAAACCAAGTGTCTTCTCTGATTACAATGGTATGAAACTAGAAATCAACATTAAGAGGAAAAGCTGGAAAATGTACAGACATGTTGAAACTAAACAACACACATTGAAACTAAATAACACATTCCTGAAAATCCAGTGGGTCAAAGAAGAAATCAAAAAGGGAACTCAAATAATACTGAGAAAGAAATGAAAATGGACATACTACACACCAGAACCTAAGAGACACTGAAAAAGTAGTTCTTAGCAAAGGTTTATAGCAATAAATGCATATATTTAGAAAACAGAAATAACACAAACCACCTAGGTAAGTTGCTAATTGCTGGTCTCCATCCTCATAGGACACTGCCTGTGACATTACAGTGACTAAATATCCTGAATACCGTTCCTGCCCAAACTTTATAACAGAAAGTCCAGGTGAATATCTGTCAAGTCTTGTCATTGTCTAAAGCAGAGTCATGGGCCAACTTGACTCACAAAAATACCATAGGTTGTGTGGCTTGTAAACAACAAACTTTATTTCTCATAGTTCTGGAGTCTGGCAGTCCAGTATCAGGGTGCCAGTATGGTCAGATTCTGGTGAGAACTGAATTCCCAGTTTATAGAAAGCACCTTCTAGTGGTAACCTCACAGGGTGGAAGGGAGGAAGGAGATTTTTCAGAACTTACCTACACAGGTATTAATCCTACTCATGAGAGCTTCCCATTCACACCCTCATCAAATCCCAAAGACCTCACTTCCTATAGCATCATGCTGAGGGTTAGGATATTAACAGAAATTTTGGGAAGACACAAATACTTCAGCAAGTAGACATGTCCAAAGTTAATTATAGTAGTTTTTAGAAAAGGTAATAGCAAACACTGGAGACAAAGAATTATTTATAAAATAACAGATTAATTAAATTATTATGAATTTATATACTGTTATACTATATGAAAGAAATAAGTCACAGGAAAAAAAAAAGTAGTGTGATATTTATATGAAAGACCTTAACATGGAATGCATTCCATAGAGTATGAAATGGCAACCCACTCCAGTATTCTTGTCTGAGAAATCCAACGGACAGAGGAGCCTGGCAGGCTACAGTCAATGGAGTCACAAAGAGTCGGACACAGCCGAGTGATTGAGCACACAACATGGAATGCAGTCTGATACATTTAAAATTCTACATGGGTGCCAGTGTCCTCCATGATATGATACTTTTTTCTAAATTAAGAACAACTCTTGATAAAGATTCAGGTCAATGCACAAACATTTCAGTGTAAATGCCTCCTGGAAAATTCAGTGTCTATTAAAGCTGTGCAAAACAATGTCTTTATAGGTTATATTCCATTATGATTTATTGTTGTTTAGTCACTTCAGTCGTGTCAGACTCGTTTCAACCCCATGGACTGTAGCCCTCCAGGCTCCACTGTACATGGGATTTTCAAGCCAAGAATTCTGGAGTGGGTTGCCATTTCCTACTCCAGGGGATCTTCCCGATCCAGGGATCAAACCCGAGTGTCTTGCCTCTCCTGCATTGGCAGGGGGATTCTTAAACACTGAGACACCAGGGAAGCCCACGTTAGGATTTAGGATCACATAATTATAAACCATTTTCCAGAAAATATTCATATTTTCTACACAAGTGAATATATGACTCTCCTGATCATTTCAGGAAGACTAGAGTTAGAACTCCTGGTCCTTGACAACTGAATATCAATAAGGATCCGCGATCATTATAACTACCAAAGGACACCTAACTTTTCCAACACGACCTCAGGTGATTATCAGCCCCAAGGAGGACCACTTCACTAGTTACCAAGTAAAATCCAGGTGATTTAGGTTTTTTTAATGGACAGAATGTGGCAAATAGTGACACAGCTAGAGTGAAACATCGATAGACAAGTAAAGACCTATGAACAAGCTAAATCTTTCCTTGGGCAATTTTTATTTTGGGATTGCCATGGGAACACCATTGGAGAAAATATTTTAGAGTTAACAAAATAAACGGGTAAGCTTGGCTCTCTGAGACTAATTGGTTCTGGGCATTGCTTGACATCCATGGTTTGGTAGCTTGGAATGTAGGCAATAATACATCCTGAAGCTGTTCCAACCAAATCATGTCTCTCTACTCTATACTATGCTGAGACATGAAGTTGCCAGGGTTAATGTCAGGATGTCTTCTGGCAACAGTGGGGGTTTCCATCCCCTGGGATCCAGTAAATCTGGTCTAATGGTTCTAAGAAATGGTATGTAGAAGAAGAAATGAGGTCACAAATCGTCAGACACGATTGAGCGACTGAACAACAACAGTCTACATTAGAAATGCTACACTTAAATAAAAATCTATGGCATTAACTTAGTAGGCATCAAAGACTTAAATTTGCACGTGGACAAAGCAATAATCTTTACTGCACTGTAGGAAAATACTTGATCAAAACTTTAGTAAACAGCACCATAGTGCTCTGATCTTGATGTTGGTTGCTTCTATTCTAGTTTTGGAAATCGTAGAAATAGCTTGTACACAGAAATGAAAGGAATATGTCTGCTCAGGGTGATCTCTTTTCTACAATCTGAGTAAGGTTTGTTGTTTTAAAACCACCTATATCACAAAAAGAAACAATGATACAGAGGTGCTCACAGTGGTGTCATTAACATAAGAGTGCCCCAAGCATCTTTTTAAACACCTCCACATAGAGTCCAATGCCAAGCATCAGGGCCAACACAGCAGAGATCTGAATAGGAGTGTTATTTGCCTCAGATGGCCTCAGAAGAGCTACCAGTCAGCTGGTGGTGGAGGTGGCCATAATACCGAGTCCAGTGAATAAAAGACCAGGGTCTTGAGGCTTTATGTATGTACAGCATTTGCTATGGTTGCCTATTTGCAACCAGAAGCCAAGAAGCTGGTCTATTAATTTGGGGGAATTTATTGCCACAGAGATAAAAAGTCTAACCTGAAATATTCTCTGGTCATTCAATCCCTAAAGAAACTCTTCGGCCCTCAAAGATACCACAACAGTATAGAGGCTGTAAAAGCTTTGTAGCCACCAAGACAGGTGTATACTCAAATCCTGCTTCTGTTTCTGCTATAGAGGTGACTGAGCTATAGATCATTGCAAAAGCAGAATCAAGGTCTCTGGGGGAAGTCGGCGAAGAGATTTCTTCCCCAAAAGGAAGCAGGCAGTACCAAATGGGCTAAACGAGGAACTATGTCTCCTGCACAGAAAAGGATCTCTACTATTTCAGCTCAGTGAAATTTGATCAGGGCTTTGGAGCACTGACTGCTGTTTCCCATAGCAGTCTCCTCCAAATAGGTCTTTTCAGGTGAATTTTAATTTTTTTTTATTTTGTTTATAAGTGTTATAGTGATGGGATACGGAACTCAAGATCATGAAACCATACTTTTAAATTAAGCTACACTTAATAAAAACAAAAATTTTTTTTCAGTAGCAAATTCCTTGAGAGAATGGAAATCTCAATGTTTTTAATGCAGGTGAATAGATGCCTTGTAGAAACTTGTATTTATGTTTTCAATAAAAATTTATTTTTAATTTACTCATTAACCCTGATAGCTCAAATGGTAAAGAATCCGCCTGCAATGCTGGAGTCCCGGGTTCGATCCCTGGGTCGAAAGATCCTCTGGAAAGAGAAACAGCAACCCACTCCAGAATTATTACCTGGAATATTCTCAGGACAAGGAAGCCTGGTGGGATACAATCCATGGAACTGCAAAGAGGTGGACACGACTGAGCAACTTTTATACACATTAAACTTGCAATTTTCAACAAGGCTAAAAATTGATTGGTTGAAAATTACAACAATAACTTGTAATAACTGTACCAACCCATAAAATATTGCTCATATTATTTTGGTATTGGAAAAAGTTCTTACTGTCATTCTACCAAGGACCTATTGAAGTGAAAGCTTAAAGTTTTTCACTGCAGCAAATGCATTTTGAAAACACCATACAGACCTTCCATTTTTGCTTCATAAATGGAGACATAGGACCCATCACTTCATGGCAAATAGATGGGGGAACAGTGGAAAACTTTATTTGAGGGGGCTCCAAAATCACTGCAGATAGTGACTGCAGCCATGAAATTAAAAGACAGTTACTCCTTGGAAGGAAAGTTATGACCAACCTAGACAGTATATTAAAAAGCAGACACACAACTTTGCCAACACAGGTCCATCTCGTCAAGGCTATGGTTTTTCCAGTAGTCATGTATGGATGTGAGAGTTGGACTGTGAAGAAAGCTGAGCGCTGAAGAACTGATGCTTTAGAACTGTGGTGTTGGAGAAGACTCTTGAGAGTCCCTTGGACTGCAAGGAGATCCAACCAGTCCATCCTAAAGAGATCGTCCTGAGTGTTCATTGGAAGGGCTGATGCTGAAACTGAAACTCCAATACTTTGGCCACCTGATGCAAAAAACTGACTCATTTGAAAAGGCACTGACGCTAGGAAAGATTGAAGGAGGGAGGAGAAGGGGACGGCAAGAATTATATGGTTGGATGGCATCACCGACTCAATGGACGTGTATTTGGGTAAACTCTGGGAGTTGGTGATGGACAGGGAGGCCTGGCATGCTGCAGTCCATGTGGTCACAAAGAGTCGGACACAACTGAGCGACTGAACTGAACTGAACTGGAGACTCCCTGGAATTGTAGGCTCTCTTTGAAGGAATATAGTAGCATTTCTTAATCTTTAAGTTGAGAACATAAAAAATGAATATTCTCTGGCAACAACCATACTAACCGATTGAAATTTTTATTCCATAGACTCAAAATCTGCATTTGTACAAGCTCTTAAGGTTATCATGAGGTCCACTGAAGTTAGAGAATAATACTATTAAAATCTAAAGTCATCTTTTGTTGCTGTTGCTTTTTGTCTCTGTCATTTCATTCTCTGAAATTAAAATTAAGCATTAGATGGGGAATACATGTAACTCCATGGCTGATTCATGTCAATGTATGACAAAACCCACTGCAATGTTGTGAAGTAATTAGCCTCCAACTAATAAAAAAAAAGAAAGAAATAACTGAAAAAATATTAATGTGAATATATTTTATAAATATAAGGAGCCATACACCCCATTGTTCACTGAAGCACTATTTATGATAGCCATAACATGGAAGCAACCTAAATGTCCATCTACAGATTAATGGAAAAAGATGTGGAATATTACTAGAATGTTACTCAGCCACAAAAAGGAATGAAATAACGCCATTTGCAGTAACATGAATGGATCTAGAGGTTATCATACTAACTGAAGCAAGCCAGACAGGAAAAGACAAATATCATATGATACCTTTATATCAGTTCAGTTCAGTCGCTCAGTCGTGTCCAACTATTTGCGACCCCCTGAATCACAGCACACCGGGCCTCCCTGTCCATCACCAACTCCCGGAGATTACTCAAACTCATGTCCATTGAGTCAGTGATGCCAACCAGCCATCTCATCCTCTGTCATCCCCTTCTCCTCCTAACCCCAATCCCTCCAAGCATCAGAGTCTTTTGCAATAAGTCAATTCTTCACATGAGGTGGCCAAAGTATTGGAGATTCAGCTTCAGCATCAGTTTTTCCAGTGAACACCCAGGACTGATCTCCTTTAGGATGGACTGGTTGGATCTCCTTGCTGTCCAAGGGACTCTCAAGAGTCTTTTCCAACACCACAGCTCAAAAGCATCAATTCTTCTGCGCTCAGCTTTCTTCATAGTCCAACTCTCACATACATGATCATTGGAAAAACCATAGCCTTGACTGGTTGAGCTTATGTCGGTAAAGTAATGTCTCTGCTTTTTAATATGCTGTCCAGATTGGTCATAACTTTCCTTTAAAGGAGTAAGTGACTTTAAATTTCATGGCTGCAGTCACCATCTGCAGTGATTTTGGTGTCCCCCAAAATAAAGTCAGCCACTGTTTCCACTGTTTCCCCGTCTATTTGCCATGAAGTGATGGGGCCAGATACCATGATCTTAGTTTTCTGAATGTTAAGCTTTAAGCCAACTTTTTCACCTCTCCTCTTTCACTTTCATCAAGAGGCTCTTTAGTTCTTCTTCACTTTCTGCCATAAGGTTGGTGTCATCTGCATATCTGAGGTTATTGATATTTCTCTCAGCAATCTTGACTCCAGCTTGTGCTTCCTCAAACCCAGCATTTTTCATGATCTACTCTGCATATAAGTTCAATAAGCAGGGTGACAATATACAGCCTTGAGGTACTCCTTTTCCTATTTGGAACCAGACTGTTGCTCCATGTCAAGTTCTAACTGTTGCTTCCTGACCTGCATATAGGTTTCTCAAGAGGCAGGTCAAGTGGTCTGGTATTCCCACCTCTTTCAGAATTTTCCACAGTTTATTGTGATCCACAGAGTCAAAGGCTTTGGCATACCAACAAAGCAGAAATAGATGTTTTCCTGGAACTCTCTTGCTTTTTCAGTGATCCAGCAGATATTGGCAATTAGATCTCTGGTTCCTCTGCCTTTTCTAAAACCAGCTTGAACATCTGGAAGTTCACGGCTCACGTATTGCTGAAGCCTGGCTTGGAGAGTTTTGAGCATTAGTTTACTAGTGTGTGAGATGAGTGCAGTTGTGCAGTAGTTGGAGCATTCTTTGGCAGTTCCTTTCTTTGGGATTGGAATGAAAACTGACTGTTTCCAGGTCCCTGGCCACTGCTGAGTTTTACAAATGTGCTGGCATATTGAGTGCAGCACTTTTACAGCATCATTTTTAGGATTGGAAATAGCTCAACTGGAATTCCATCACCTCCACTAGCTTTGTTTGTAGTGATGCTTCCTCCTAAGGCCCACTTGACTTCACATTCCAGGATATCTGGCACTAGGTGAGTGATCACACCACCTTGATTAACGTGGTTGTGAAGATCTTTTTTGTATAGTTCTTCTGTGTATTCCTGCCACCTCTTCTTAATATCTTCTGCTTCTGTCAGGCCCATACCATTTCTGTCCTTTATTGAGCCTATCTTTGCATGAAATGTTCCCTTGTTATCTCTAATTTTCTTGAAGAAATCTTTAGTCTTTCCCATTCTGTTGTTTTCCTCTATTTCTTTGAAAGGCTTTCTTATCTCTCCTTGCTATTCTTTGGAACTCTGCATTCAAATGGGCATATCTTTCCTTTTATCCTTTGCTTTTTGCTTCTTTTCTGTTTACAGTTATTTGTAAGGCCTCCTCAGACAGCCATTTTGCCTTTTTGTATTTCTTATTTCTGGGGATGGCCTTGATCCCTATCTCTTGTACCGTTTCACGAACTTCTGTCCATAGTTCATCAGGGACTCTGTCTATCAGGTCTAGTCCCTTAAATCTATTTCTCACTTTCACTGTCTAATCATAAGGGATTTGATTTAGGTCATACCTGAATGGTTTACTGGCTTTCCCCACTTTCTTCAATTTAAGTCTAAATTTGGCAATAAGGAGTTCAGAATCTGAGCCACCGTCAGTTCCTGGTCTTGTTTCTGTTGACTGTATAGAGCTTCTCCATCTTTGGCTGCAAAGAAGATAATCAATCTGATTTTGGTGTTGGCCAACTGGTGATGTCCATGTGTAGAGTCTTCTCTTGTGTTGTCGGAAGAGGGTGTTTGCTATGACCAGTGTGTTCTCTTGGCAGAACGCTATTAGCCTTTGCCCTGCTTCATTCCGTACTCCAAGGCCAAATTTGCCTGTTACTTCAGCTGTTTCCTGACTTCCTACTTTTGCATTCCAGTCCCCTATAATGAAAAGGATATCTTTTTGGGGCATTAGTTTTAAATGGTCTTGTAGGTCTTCATAGACCTTCAGCCTGCTTAGCGTTACTGATCAGGGCATAGACGTGGATTACCATGATATTGGATGATTTGCCTTGGAAATGTACAGAGATCATTCTGTAGTTTTTGAGATTGTGTCTAAGTACTGCACTTTGGACTCTATTGTTGACTATGATGGCTACTCCGTTTCTTCTAAGGGATTCCTGCCCACAGTAGTAGATAAAATGGTCATCTGAGTTAAATTCACCCATTCCAGTCCATTTTGGTTCGCTGATTCCTAGAATGTTGGCGTTCACTCTTGCCATCTCCTGTTTGACCACTTCCAATTTGCCTTGACTCATGGACCTAACATTCCAGTTTCCTATGCAATATTGCTCTTTACAGCATTGGACTTTGCTTCTCTCACTGGTCACATTCACAACCAGGTGTTGTTTTCGTTTTGGCTCCATCCCTTCTTTCTTAAGTTATTTCTCTACTGAACACTGGCTTACAACAATTCATTAAGTTTTACCTCTGTTGAAGGTGTTATTCTATACATGTGAGTATTCACCAAATTTTAAAAAATAGATAAAAAATACTTAATGAAGAAACTTACATATAAATATGGAACATATAGACACATACAGAGTTTATATATAAAACAGTAGGTGAAGCTAATACTGAAGTATACAACCAAACAGCACTCTGGGGTCCAGGACGACACCCAGGTCCAGGTCTTCAGGGATTCAGAGCAGAGCCTGCAGCACCAGCACAGGCGAGGAGGCCCCGGGAGGTGCACAGTCAGACAGCAGAGGGCGCCCTGGGGAAGGAGTGCAGGACCCAGAGCACTTCCCAGGATCTAGACTTGGCTTTGGGGCTCAGATCTACAGAGCACAGGGCCTGTTTGCTGCTCTTTGCTAAGGGCATCGTCTGTTAGTGGGAAGTGTCTAGAAACGTCCCACAGAAGCAAGTACACCTGTGCATCTGGCTGGCAACTCTCAACTGGTGGGTTCCCTGGACAGTGAGACTCAGGCAGAAGAACAGGGGACTCTGGGATCCAGGACTAAAAGCTTGCCCCCTCCCCCCTTTTCCTCTAGGCCCTGGGAAGAGCAGGAGGTCAGATGTCACAGTGGGTAGGAGAACATGCTCACCCATCCTACATTCAGTACAACTGCTTCTGAGACCTGAACATTGGAAATGGACAGATACCTGGAGTTTCAATATTCCCTAATAATTGCTTCTAACCTACAGTCAAACGCTCCTGAGATTTATGATTTGAAACTGCTATTATGTTGTTGTAATTAATAAAAAGGACATTTTAACTGTGTAGCATATTATAACATTGAAATCTGAGAGAACACACTGCTTTTTAAACTGTAATATATCAAAATATGTTATTAATGACCAAACGGGAAAAAAACAAAAAATAAAAAGAACATGAGTAACTTGAATCCTGCCACTCATCCCAAGTGTGCTGCTCATTTGCTGCAGTCATGTCTGACTCTGTGCAACCCTATGGATGATAGCCCACCAACGTCCACAGTCGCTGGGATTCTCCAGCATACTGGAGTGGGTTGCCATTTACTTCTCCAGGGGATCTTCCTTACCCAGGGATCGAAGCTGAGTCTCTTGTGTCTCTCGCATTCGCAGGCAGGTTCTTCACCACTAGCAGCACCCTCCAAAGTGCACACGGCACTAAATTGCATTCTGGTATTCTTTAGTTGGAGTTGTACACATACAGAGAAGAATCTGCAGAACCTCCAACTTCAGCTTGAGGAATGGTGCCCTGAAGTGACCCAGGACCCCAGGGTTCCAGAACCTGAGGGACCCCAGACTCGGGCACCCCTCAGGCTGGCTGGGACCCTCAAGACCAGGGAGTACCCACAGGGATGTGGAGATGCCAGGTGACCCCGTCTGCACAAGCTCTGGGCGCCTGTGTCTCCACTCTGTTCCCAGGAGCCCAGGACTGGGGAGGGCGGGGCCACCCCAACCTCTCTCTGCAGCTGGTGATGAACTAGGGGGGCCCCCTGCTGCCTTTACGGGGTTCAGAGGGCAGAGCTGGCACCTTCAGAGGCTTATATATCTTTAGTAAAATGTTTACTTAGCCATTACAAAGAATGAAATTCCATCAGTTGCAACAAAATGGATAATCTGATACATTTAAGTCCGCTGACGTTGAAAAGAGTCACTGAAGGGAGTTACTGGAAGGAATCCAAGCAGGTACCCCTTCCCGTGATCTCAGTGATGAGAACTGTGTGCAGCTTCACTCGTTCCCCTAATAGGAACTGATAAGGAACAGAGAATCCTTGAGAAATGGCACACAAAGGAAAAAACAAATGCAACTTACTGGATTCTGTAAAGTTGAACGTCCCCTGACAGTAAATGACTTCCATATTCTTGCTCTTCTGCTCCAATTCTTCATTATCTTCCATTCAGTTTTCTGGTGTTGCCAGGCAGAACTCCTTTGGAATGGCTGTGGGAAAGCAAAGGGGAGATTTAGAGACAGGATGTGACCAGGGGACCCTGGTGCCCTTGTCTCCAAGGAACTCCTAGGGCCTTGGTGTTTCACCTCTTCAGTGAAAAAGTGGATCTCTGACCTCCAACATCCTGTTGCCACCCTCAGCTTGTCTATGTGTGACCAGGAATGAGGCTGTGCCAACCTGTTCCTCCTCCAGGTGGTCACTGTCTCCATGCATCTCTGCCCATGACCTTCCTTGCCTCCTTCTCCCGCTGCTTCTTCTCTAATTGCTTCCTTATTTCTCTCCTCTAGTCACTGTTACTTTACTTTCTCCTTCAACCTCTAGCATCCCTAGAGTTTGCAATGTGGACACATTAGAAGGAGGAACATCGGTGTATGGCCACTGTCTCCAATCAGTCCATTACTCAATTAACCAATACATTTCTCCAAGGGAGGAGCTGGCATGGACTTGAGAGTGTGTTGAGCCCTGGGGGAGGGAAGGACAAAAATTCCACACAACAGAGGCTCTCCCGTTGCCTGGGGTGACCTGAGTTACCTGGGAGATGCTTAATGCTCACAGCAACACCTCAAGTTTCACAGACCCTTAGAAAGGATAGAGGCAAACACTTCCAATTTCATTTAGCCAGAATAATGTGACAAGGGTCCTCCATAAACATGTGGTAGCTGCCGGGCTTGCACTGAGACATGGAAAATTGGGAGGGATGAGACTTGGGAAGGTGTAAGGAAAGGAGAGAGGATGGGGCAGGCCTGGGTTGGGGAGAAGGGGCAGGACTATCTGGATGCAGCAGTGGGTTCTGAGAGCAGCAGTGATCCCAGGACCTGCTGCCCTGGGAATGCTCAATCCTAGGAGACCAGGTCAGCAGGGCTATAAAAGCAAGTGTGTGAAGAAGCCCAGTGGCTCCTTCACAGACTCTAGAATCTGCAGATATGGAGGGTCTCTAGGAGCAGCAGGACATGGACCTCTCACCCGGAAGCACCTTCAGCACATCAGCCTTGGCTGCTGCAGGGGCTGTGATGAGCCCCAGGAGACCGAGCCCAGGCAGGGACCCCAGAGCCTGTGTGCTGTGACTCATCCACCCCTGCAGCGCCCTTTACACGAGGAATTAACAGTGAGGACAAACATGAGGGGAAGTCACAAGTCCTGAAAGTGCAGGAGGAGAGAGTTCACGTCTCACCCACCACCTCACAGGCACTGCAAGGACGTGGTCTCCAGTGTCAAGTGACAATGAGAGTTTTGTGCCCACTAGGATATGGTCCTCACAGTTCAACATGCAATAGAAAACAGCCTGCAGTGCACAATACCCAAGATGTGCTGAGCAGAGAGCAGGCTTCCATATTAGTAAAAGAGCAGAAACGAGCAGCTCTTATAGGAAAAATAATTTTTGAAGAGTAAAGCAACAAAAGCTGATTAGAAATAGAGCACAATGCAAGTCCAGCACACAATTTCTCTATCATATCATTTCATATGTAAAGAATAAGTCAGAATTCTATACACATTTCCTTCTTCTTAATTTCATGTTCACTTTTCTTAGCCAACAAACAGAGAGTTTAATTCTGGGGTTAATAGAGGGTTTAACTTCCAGAACCCTCTCCCATCAGATCCCAATGGAATCTTGTTAGCTACCTGTCTCCCCTTTCTCATCACTGCACCAAATGCCCTCCACAGTGCATTCCATGAGCAAAAAGGTGATCAGAATGAGCAACCCACCCGCATATCCTCCAGTTGAGGCCTGCTGGATCTCACAGCATCACCTTGACCTTTTTCCCAAGGTCCTGAAGAGACACCCCACTGTGGATAGCAGATGGCAGTCATCTGTGCTCTGTGCAGTCAGAGTCCTTCAGTGAGACACTGATCTCAGTTGCAAACCTAAAGATAGAGATGCTGAAAAAGTCAATTCTCAACCTCTCACTTCTACATGTCCACTAGAGCTCTCACCTTCATGCTCACCAACCTGAAATCACAAGTGTTTTGACACACGTATAACATGCCTTGAAGCAAATTATAGCAGTCATATCTCGCTAGTGCCTACCAACTATAATACACAAAAGCCACTATATATGTTTATATATGTGTGTGGATAACTCACGCAGTCGATTTCAGCAATTTGTGAGCCCATGGACTAGCCTGCCAGGGCCGTCTGTCATGGAATTCTCCAGGCAAGAATACTGGAGTGGTTAGGCATTTCCTTCTTCAGGGGATCCTCCTGACTCAGGGCTCTCACCCAGGTCTTCTGGATTGCAGGTGAATTCTTTATTGTCTGAGTCACCAGGAAAGACTGAATGAATCTTCAGATCATCACCACGAGTCCTGCCGATTCTGACAGATGACGGCAGAACAGGAACTTTGGTACAAGTAAAGGTGTTTCCCAGGTGGCTTAGTGGTAAAGAATTTGCCTGCCAATGCAGGAGACATGCGTTCAGTCTCTGGGTTGGGAAGATACTTTGGAGGAGGAAATGACATTGCAGTTCAATATTCTTGCCTGGAAAATAGCATGGACAGAGGAGCCTGGTGGGATATAGTCCATGGGGTCACAAACAGTGGGGTCATAACTAAGTGACTGAGTATGCATGGATATATACAGGGTGTTAACACCCCTCTCTTGTTATTTCCTTTGTGTTTTCTGGCCATTTCAAGATGACTGTTTGCTGTTAAATTAACAAAGAAAAGACCTCTGACCCAAGAGAGTATTTAGCCTGAGGGGTTAAGAGGGATGTGGCCCTTTTCTGGTTTCCATGGTAATCAATGAGCCAATCTGCTGTTCATTCCCATTGTAACTGGTAGACTCCTTATCCCCTCAGAGTAAAGAAAACTATAGCTGCTGTCTTCTGCCTGTCCCCTGCTATCCACAGTGGGTGTCTCTCTGAGAGGGTAACAGGCAGGAAGGCCAGGGGTCTCCAAACAGAGGAAATAGGCTTCAAGTGTCAGACATTTTTATCTCTTTCTTAAGTGGCAGGAATGATAGTTTTCCGCCCCCCTTTTCCTATACAAATTTAAAAGATTTCTCTTAAAATATTGTGTTGCCATAATGACACCTGGTTTCACCTGAAGTTAACTATTCTCAAACACTGAGTTAACCAATGCATTCTTCTTATGGGAATGTTTGTCTTAAGTTATGTTAATGTACTATGCTTTTACTGCAAACTCTGTCTTGAAGTCCATTCTGCCTAATGGTTCAGAATCTACTTGACAAACCGTTATGTTATACTCAGACATTGTTCCCCTAATCTATGTAAATGAAACTATTTGCATGGTAATCTGCCTGTCTACAGGATTCAAGTCAATCATTTTATGGCCTGGGATGACGCTTCTGGTGCCAAGATTATCCCAAAATACATTTTATGGATGAGGGGCCTGGTGCCAGTCTGAGTTTGAAGACATTCCTTTTTCTTAACAAACTGCTAGTGACTATAGAACATCCAGCTAAAGACTAGCAGGGGGGGCACTCTTTCTGCCCCCTTCTGATGCCTGTGTCAGAAGCTTTCTCTACCTCCTTTATACTTTAATTAAACTTTATCACACAAAAGTTCTGAGGGATCAAGCCTCGTCTCTGGCCCTGGATTGAATTCTTCTCCTCCGGAGGCCAAGAATCACGGAGTCTTTTTGTGGTTCAGCAACAACCTTTCATCTCCAGGACCCATTTACTTCAGATAGGTAAGACGTCCCATCTGTAAACCCTTTGATATCTCTGTCAACTCTGGAATCTTTTTTTGGTCTCAAGTCCAGGCAAAGTACAGCACTTGCAGGCCTGCAAAATGTAACCCAACAGCTTCTGCAGAGTATTTGGCTGGCCTGATTTGATGATTCATTTGTAGGTATTTCCTGGGCTTGTGAATACAACCCACGTACTCAGGAGCCTTTGGGACACTGAAACAGCAATGCTAATACCTAGATCTTAGAGGATTTCCCAGCAGGTGTTCCTCTTGAGGGGACAGGTGTGGACACAGGGCCCAGGGCAATTGTGCTGAACATCATCAGAGAAGAGGTGAGGAGGGAGGGAGGGACACTGCATCTCCTCACCAGCCCATACCTCCACCACTGACTCTGAGATCAGGGAGGGAGGGACACAGGGCCTGCAGAGAGAAACGACCAGCACACGGAACACTACACACCCCACTGAGAGAATGAACTAAGCCACGAGGAATTGAGATGACAGATCATGCTCATAGACTGGAGACTTAGTACTGTTGACATTTCTATAGTACCCAAAGCTAAGTAAAAATTCATTGCAACACCAATCAAAATATTAACATCATTTTCATAGAAATGGGAAAAACAAATCCAAAAATACATATGGAACCACTAAGGACTCCACATAGACAAAATAACCTTGAAAACAAAGATCAAAGTATCTCACCTCCTGATTTCAAAACACATTACAAAGATATAGGAATCAAAGCTGTATGATACTGACATAGAAATAGATACATAGCCCTAAAGACCAGAATACAGAGCCCAAGAAAAGTCATGGATGCATGGTCAAATGAAATTCATCAAGGTTCTAAGACAATGGAATAGGAAAAGGGTAGTCTCTTCAATAAATAAGTAGGATGAAAAGATAACCTACAGAAAAATTACAAGCCATGTATCAGATAAGGAGCTCATCCTCAAAATTCATAAGAAAATACCACAGCTCAAATGCAAAACAAATACAATATTAAAAAGAGTAAATAAGGGAGTTGAGGAATGTGCAAAGATTTAAACAGATGTTTCGGGAACAAGACAGACAAATGACTAGCATACAAAGGAAAAGGTTTTCAACCTCACTAATCATCAGGGCAAAGTAAATCAACACCTCATGCCTGTTAGTTTGTATATTATAAAGGCAAAGAATTAACAGGTTAAGGCCATGATGTGGGGAGCTGGAACCATTGTACACTACTGGTGGGAATGTAAATTGTGTGGCTATGTTGTGGAAAACAGTAAAATTCTCCTTATAAATGTATAAAAAGCATAGCATATGATTCAGCAAACACAGTTCTGGATATATATATACAAAGGGAATTAAATCAGTATCACAAAGAGATATCTGCAGTCCTAAATTCACTGCATCACTTTCCACAACAGCCTAGGTACACAACCAACTTCAGGTAACAAATAAGTATTCTGTGTCTGAGCTAACTTTAGATAACTGGGAGAAACTCAGTTCTCAAAATAACTGCTTAAGTCTCTTAGCCCTTTAGGGAGGGTGAACACAGTATTATAATTAAAGTAACATGTCCAAAGTGTCTTAGTCTGAAGTGATGCCACAAAGGTTTTACAGATAGGGAAGCCTCATATACACACAGCACCAGCCAGGGTTTACCCCAATCTTGGAAAGACTGGGAGGAATCAAACCTGGGAAAGTTTGAGTAAAGGTAACAGGGTGGACAGGACTGGGGTGTGCGGAGCAGGGGCAGGACTGTCTAGATGGAGCACTGGGTTCTACATGCAACAGTGATCCTGGGTCCTGCTGCTCTGAGTCTCTGACCTAGGTCTGGTCAGTCCCAGGAGACCAGGTCAGCAGGGCTGTGAGAGCCAATGTGTTAAGAAAGCCAGCAGCTCCTTCACATTTTCAAGCATCTGTGGCCTTGTTGGTCTCTAGGGGCAACTGGACATGGACTGCTCTCACGTGAAAGCACCTTCAGCAAAGAATCCTTGGGTTGGAAGCTGAGATGAGCTCCAGGAGACTCAGTCCAGTCTGGGACGCCAGAGCCTGTGTGCTTTGACTTATCCAACCCCGAGAACACCCTTTACATGAGGAATAAAAAATGAAGAGAAATGTGAGCGCAATCTACAAGTCCTGAAAATGCAGAGGTAGAGAGTTCATATCTCACCCAGAACCTGACACTCACTGCAAGAACTTGGCCTGCAGTGTCAAGTAACTATTAGGGTTAGGATATGGCCATCTTAGGAGAATTTAAACATGAAGCCAAAGTTCCTTGTATATAAGACCCTGAAGGCACTAACCATAAGCCATTCTCTCATGTTTATCAATTAAAGGACAAAGAAAGAGGAGTCTTGTGAGAAAGGACACTTCTGGCCGAAGACACGTTTCCGAGCAGCACCGGAGCATGAGGAGCTTATTGAAACAATTTGGATTCTCAAGAAGACTTCTCAAAGTGGAAAGTTGTAGAATACCTGAGTCAGCATCACTGATTCTACTACCTTGGGCATCGCTGATACAGAAGCTTAGCAACGCACCTGTCATTTTCTTGCTGGATCAAAGAAAAAGATTCTCAACCATGCCTGAAATAGAAACAAATCACAGAGACTCTGAATTGTTTTCCCCACCTTCTGATGTTCGAGGAATGACAGAACTTGATAGAACAGCTTTTAAAAAGATAGTCACCATCCCAGTGCTTAAAGTGAGGAAAGAAATAGTCAATAAACTGATGCGATCCCTTAAAAGGGCAGCACTGCAGCGCCCAGGCATAAAACGTGGGATTGAAGATCCAGAAGATGAAGAAGGTAGACTAATTATGTTGGATCCCTATAAAATGTTTACTGTTGATTCCTTTGAGAAAGAAGAACTCAGTATTTTAAAGCAGCTGAATGTCAATCCACAGATATCGAAATATAATCTGGAACTAACTTATGAAAACTTTATGTCAGAAGAAATCTTGAGAGCTGTGCTTCCTGAAGGTCAAGATGTGACCTCAGCGTTTAGCAGAGTTGGACGCATTGCTCACCTGAAACTTCGAGATCATCAACTAACTTACAAGCATTTAATTGGCCAAGTTATGATTGACAAAAATCCAGGAATCACCTCAGCAGTAAATAAAATCAATAATATTGATAATACCTACCGAAATTTCCAAATGGAAGTACTGTCTGGAGAGGAGAATATGATGACCAAGGTTCGAGAAAACAATTACACCTATGAATTTGATTTTTCAAAAGTCTATTGGAATCCTCGTCTCTCCACAGAACACAGCCGCATCACAGAACTTCTCAAACCTGGGGATGTCCTATTTGATGTTTTTGCTGGGGTTGGGCCCTTTGCCATTCCAGCAGCGAAGAAAAACTGAACTGTGTTTGCTAATGATCTCAATCCTGAATCCCATAAATGGCTACTGCACAATTGTAAATTAAATAAAGTGGACCAAAAAGTAAGTCTTTAACTTGGATGGGAAA